GGACTGGAACAATAGATAATACAGTAGGAAGGACATTTGCCTTGCACGAGGCTGGCCCAGGTCCAATCCTCAGCATCCCATATGGTCCCCTGAGCACCACCAGGAGTGATTCCTGAGTGCAAGAGCCAGGAGTAACCCCTGTGCATTGCTAGATGTGACCCCCCCCAAAAAATAACCCTGCATACCTAAATTTTCATCAGATTATATCTCGGTGAGGTTTATCCTGAGTCAGTGGCATCCAATCAAGGACATGGCAGCAATTTGGATTGTAGAAGGAAGTGGCTACTGGAGGTTTTGCTTGTGTGCGCACCAGGCCAACCCGACCCGCTCTGATAATGAATAGTCTGTTCATTAACTGGCTTGTGATCTCCTTTGAGATTTATTTATGAGTCTGTGAAGCAAAGCAGGTAGATGAGTTTACATAGTAGTCTGGTGCTGGAATTGGTTCATGGGAGTGAGTTCTGGTCCCAACTTCAAGAAAGCCTGGAGATTTCAGTCACAAAACCTGCATATCTGATTTTTCAACAGGTTAATATCTCAGTGAGGTCTGTTCTGAGATGGTGGATTCTGGCCCAGTGTTGGGGGCATGGTGGCGATTTTGGATTGTGTGAGCAAGCGGCTGCCAGGGGCTCTGCTTTGGTGGACACCAGGCTGACCTGCCTGCCTCTGATTTACCCTGGTCTGTTCAGCCTTGCACGGGTCCGAGATTAACTGTGGCTTTAGATCTCTTGAGATTTATTTACGAGTCTCTAAAGCAAGGCAGATAAATGAGCTTATATAGGAGGTTGTTTGTGGGCATGGCTCCTGCACTGTGTAAACTCAAAAAAGGACAGCACACCAGCAGCGGCGGTTCTGTCTCTCCCGTCGCCCACGTTCGGTAGTCTCACCCTGCTTCCCCACCCCGGGGAGGTTGATGGCGATGGGCAGGCGAAGGAAGAAACGAGGGCCAGGCTGGTTGGTCTTAGTTGCAGTTTATTCCAATCCTCTCTCCATCCACTCCAGTCTCTCTCCTCTGCTTCCCCTCCTGCTTCTTCCTCCCCCATGCTACTCCATTCTCCTTCTCCATGCCCCTTTATCCTCATTCTCTGGAGTCTGGATTCTGATTCTGATCCCCTTTTTCCTCTTGCAGTACAGTTAAATCCCAAAGCATGAGGGGTTGGGGTAATAATTACACATAGGTGTGGTCACAATCAATTGGGGTAGAATTCTTTCCTTTGGGGAAAGCCGCTTCTAGGACAGGTTGTCATTATCAGATCATCCCACCCTAGAGTCGGAATCCCTTGGATGTATTTCTCCTCTCCTTGTCCAACAAATATATAAGCATATATAATATAAATCATTTTGTATGGATATAGTAAAAAATGCCTTAAACTTATCGAATTACTCTCCTAGGGCCATCTTGATCTCAGACTACAGTACTCAGGCCAGATAGTCTTTCCTACCCCTAGCAGGGTCCTACTCTCGTTGTTGCTTTTGGATCATGACAGCATTTGTCTATGATCAAGTTCTTAACTTATAGTTAAGAATCATGGCACTTTGGCCTGGCCCATTTCAATGCCAGGGTAGCTCATCCCTTGCCCCTGGGTCCATTCAGTCCCTCGTCGGGACCCTACTTTTGGGGTGTTAGGAACTAAGGGCAACTAAGGCTTAAGTCGAGAAAGCAGATGCCCAGGAGTGAATAATATTCAAAGCCAATTAAGTCCTAAGTTACAAAGCATAATGTTAACGGTTTTCTTGTATCTATACAAAAAGGGCATTGCTTTAAAGTAAACTGTTCATAAGACATAAGGAGAGGAGAAAGGTAGTATTTCACTCATACATATAAAATCATAGATTTCTGAGGAATCTGACCTTACAAATTAACAGAGTCTGATTAGGGGGAAAGCTGATTAACTGGTTGGGGAGGAGAGCATAGGGAAGAATTTACAGATAAACACAATGGAATGGAAGTGCTTCCGGAGCACTGTGATGGGTGTAACCAGATAAACCTAAGCTCCTTGTCGAGAAAGGGAGAAAGGACAAAGCATTGTCATCCTACACTGCACACCTAACTTTTGGCCTTTTAATTTCTCGGGAAACTTGGTACCATGTTGTTGGGGTCCAGCCACAGGCACAGCAGCAACTTTGGGGTATCAGGAAGCCTGAAGGCACCATCAGGTTGCTGATGTCCTTGCCCCGCAGGTACAGGTTGACTTGCTGGTGTAGCCACACCTCCAAGAAGATGTGTACTTTTAAAGTTCCTTATTCTTTTGTTCCTATGAAGTCTCTGTAATCCAGTTAGTATTTTATTTTATTTTTTCCCTTCCCTTCTTCATTACTTTTGTTGCCACTGCTGCTTTAGTGCCTGTGGGTCACACATATGTGTGGCTGTGGTTCTTTCACACTGTAGCTGTTGGACTCACACATATGCTTCCCTTCAGCATGCTTCCAAACCCTGGTATGTGCATTTGTGCATTTGGGCATCATACCTCTGTAGTCTAATGCCCACACATATCTCACTGTATTACAGCTGGAAATCACTTGTGGTGCCAGAAATCACAGACCTTGCTCACATTGTAAGACACTGAGCTCTTTCCTTGGATCCCAAAGATATTTTCTAGCAGGAAAGAATCTTGCAAATATAAATACGTATCTCTAGATGGAGGAAAATGAAGGGCTAATGTTATTTTGATACTGCTTACTGAAACCGACAGAGTAACACTCCTTTAGGTGAGAAGGAAGTGACATTTCTGTTAGAGCATCTTCCGGGAAACTGACTTGTCTTGACTCTTGGAATGTAATTGGCTACATGGAATATTCATGACAATATACAGAAAGGCAAGCATAAGCTAACAAACGTGATACATTTATGGTGCCACTGCTCTCTCTTAACATTTGATTGATGCCTAAGTTTTAGAGAAACCTTAGGGTAATAAATTGAAACAAAATAGAAAAACCTTAAAAGTGTGAATATGTCATGATGAAATAAAATAAATTAATGTTGCCTTTGTGACTGAGTGGATCTCAGTTTCTGACATCATTTTTTTCTTGCATCAACTTAACTCCTGAATTTTTCCGTGGTCTCCACTCTTCACATCGCATCACAGAACATCTCTCTTTATTTATCCCTTTATAGGATTGTCACTGATTAAAATACACCATTATAGTCTACCATTGTTCCAAAATTAAAAAAACAAACAAACCTCCTTTTAGGTTTAATGTCCAGAAGGGTTCTGCTTATGTTTTCTTCAATATGTATGGATTCAGGCCTGAGATTGAATTGAATCTTCAGTCTATTTTGAGTTGACTTCTGTGCATGGTGTAAACTAGGGCTCTAAGTTCATTCTTTTTTGGGGGGAATCACAGCTGGAGATGTTCTAGGGTTACTCCTCAGGAATTACTGCACTTAGGAATTATTCCTTTTGGTGCTGAGGGGACTATATGAGATGCCCGGGATCAACCCCGCTGTTGGCTGTATGTACAGCAAACTCCCTACCCACTCTACTATGGCTTCAGCCTCTCTAAATAAATTTTTTAACATGTGGCTGACCGTTTTTTTGCACACCATATAAAGCACTTTTAAAACTCAACAAGAAAAAATATTCAACATCAAAAATAAGAAGTTATATAAAATTCCAAAGGCATATAAAATAGCTCTGCATCACGTAAGGAAAATACAAGTCAAAACAATGAGTTATTACCTCACAGTAGTGAAGACTGGCATACATTTAAAAAAAAACCCAAAAGACTAGTGTTGGCATGGATATGGGGGAAAAGGAGCCTTCCTCCACTGGTGGGAATGTCAACAGGTTTAGCCAGTTGGAAATCAATATGAATACTTTAAAAAAGAACTGGAAATTGAGCTTCCATGTAATTCAGTATCTCCACTTCTTGCTTGGCCTCTATCCTAAGGGCCCCCAAACTATTCTGAAAACATTTGCGCTCCTGAGTTTCACACTGTTTACAGTAGCCCAAATCTGGAAACAACTCATATCCAAGAACAAGAACAAATGAGTGGATGAGAATCTATGGTGTGTGTGTGTGTGTGTAGTGGAGTACTATATGGCTATAAGAAAAAATAAATTCACGCAATTTTCTGTTACATGGATGAATCTGGAGAGTATCATGCCTAGTGAAGAAGTCTGAAGGGGAGCAATCGATACAGAATTAACTCTCTCATACATGGAATATAAAGAAACATAATAATGGAATAACAAATGCCCGAAAGCAACAGAAACAGAACTGGTCTACAGAATAGAGCTTACCACGGGTGGGGTGAGAGTGGTATGTGGGTGAGGGGACACTGTGGGGGAGGATGTTGAACTGTTGTAAGAAACCCTATCATTAACAGTTTTGTAAATCACAGTGCATATCATTAAAAAATGTTGACTGTCAAAATAAATCTCTCTTCTACTTAAAGAATTTACCATCATTTACTGAAGTTATGACACTGCTATCACTGGTTGTAACTGGTTTCCTCGAAATATTAACAGTTAATGCTTTTTACTTACCTGTTTCTTAATTTTTGGTTTATGGGCCACATTCAGCTATGCTCAGGACTTGCTCTTGGTCCTGGCTTACTGCAGTGCTCAGGCCTTACTCTGACTCTACGTTCAGGGGCAGTCCTGATGGGACTTTGGGACCAGGTTGGTGGCATGCAAGGCAAGCACCCTGCCCTCTGTCCAATCTCTCCAGCCCCTGAGAAAATTTCTTTTAATTGAGAAAAAGGTCTCTTATAAATAAGGGTTGAAGACCAGTTTGGAAAAAAGCTGATCAAATAATGCAATAGTCTTACTGCATTCCCCAGAGGAATTCTTTGAAAACCAGGCTCCTCATTCCCTGAATGTTGTCTGTGAGTTCCCTCTGGAGGAAATGGACAGGCAGCTCCTGCTAATGTTGGAAGGTGTTTACTCTCCCTCCCTCCAGGGGACCTCCTAGCACCTGTGCTTTGTGGCCAGCTGGTCAGTGAGCTTTGGTGTCTGCTGTCCTATGACTGATACTAATGGATGACTGTCTTTCAGCTTTCATGACGCTGGTTATCATACTGCTGAACATGTTCTGGGGGATTGTGTTTTTTGATGGCTGTGAAAAGAAGCAGTGGTATATCATTGTCATCATTCTCCTGACCCATATACTGGTGTCCATGCTGGTGAGTATTACCACGGTGCTCAAACTGTTTTAGGAAGCTCAAGTTCATCTGTCTAAAAAATGATAGAGCCTACTCCAAGTGAAAAAAGTGCTCATGGGAAAATGAGGAAACTCAGAAAAAAATTGTGTAACAGATGACTAGAGGATGGGGGTAGATCTCAGTGGTGCAGCGTTGTCTTCACATGTGAGCCCCCTGGATCTGATCTGATCTTATTTAAAAAATGAAATAAGATATGACTGATATATGTCTTCTAAGTCAGCAGGACAAGTTTAGTGGTGGGTTTTTGTTTGTTTTATTTTGGCGTCCATGCCTGGCTCTGTGATTTAGAGTTGCTTTTGGCAGTGCTGATACAGGGAGGGAGACCTGTGGGTATGGGGTTCGGGCCTGGCCTCCTGCAACACTAGGTTTTGTTTTTGTTTGTTTGTTAATCTGATTAAACATTTTTCTTTTACTGGGCATATTTCCATTGGGAATTGTCTTGCATTATTTTTGTGTGCATTCAAAATAGTTTCTATGTTTTTACATGTCTTTAATTCATCCATTTTGATAGTTTCATGTTGTTCCATTATATTTCCAGTTTGTTTGACTGGTTGATAGCATCTACTTTGGTTATAATAATGCCGTCATAAGTGAGGCACTTTTCAGCATGTTCTTTAGTTGCAAGGAGTGGAATTATGAAATCAAATGCTCTCAATCTTTTAAAAGACCTTGATGCAAATTTCTAAAATCATCTCCACAAGCTTGTGTCATTTTTAATTATTCTGATCAATAATTAGAATGGACTAGAGTGTCCATTCCACCCCTTCCCTGATGACATTATCATAATACCATTTTTCAAAGTAAAAAACAAATCTCACGTAGGTATGTTTTTTGGCACTACTAATACACTGAATCTGACTTTTGGCATAATTTGCTGTCATATGAGAATTAACCTGTGACTGCCTTGCATAGACCTGTTTATCTCTCCCTTCTGGTGAGGTCCTGCCTCATGTTTCTCTCTTCTTTCAGTTAAGGTTTCTATCAGTTTCCTTTCCTATGTATCTTGCTCTCTGTCCCATCCAATATGGAATCTTACTGCTTCCCCTTCCTTAGGCCTTCCATTGGTGCTCCATACTAAATGTACCCTTAATATGGTGGCTTGCACAAACCTGCTTGCACATCTTCAGGTAGAAAAACTGAAAAGAGAATTAAAATATTAGCAGAATTTATTGCGGGTGTTGAAGTGTGGATTTTTAAATATTTAATAGCTTAGGCCCTGTTCTACATTTTCATAATCAGAAAAGAGACTCCATGAAAAAGCAAAAACTTTCTCTTATGGACCCACTTGCCAGCCTTTTTGCTTCTGAGTCATTCGTAATTTATTTTTCTGAGCACTTTTTTATGATCCATGGACTGTTTTAGATGAATAAAAACAGTTTACTGACCAAAACAAAAACTCCTGACTTTATCATATATTGGGAAGAGATCCAATAAGCAGTAGGTACAGTAACTAAGAAACTATATCATATGTTAGAAAGTTGCTGTGGGAAAAAGAAAAAATAGAGATCCTATACCCTTGGCATTTGATTGCAGAGCTGAGATCACCGAGCAGTGAGAGCAGGGAGAGGAGGCAGGGGTGGACTAGAAGTGGGGGCCACAGGGACTATGGGGGAATATCTTGGGCACTGGTGATGAAGGGTCAGTGACTGTGTACATCACAACCACGTTTATGCTTTTCACACTTGTAACCATGCTCCCCAAACCACAATAAACATTTAAATAATAACATTAATACTAAAAGTGATCAGGGAATTTCAATTTTTTTTAACCATGCAGTCTGATTTGGATTCATTGTGAAGGTAATATTTAAGCAATGAAGTGAAGTAGATTTGCTCACATGACCATCTGTAGAAAGAGCACTGGGAACTGAATAGCTCCTGGTAGAGTCTTGATATTAAAGATCTTCTTACGCATGTTTATGGAAGTGAGTGTGGCCAGGATAGAGGGTTATGGACTTGAGTTGGGAAGGGAAGGAGAAGTTGGAAGTGAGAGCCACTTCTTTTTTTTTTTTTAACATCATTTTTATTGAGGTGCTGGGGTTGATAATACTGTTAATCATAACTTTTCATGCATACATTCCACCCAACACCACATCCATCACTGGGGAACCCAGTTCCTTTCCAGAACTCCACTGTCCCAAGGAACCTTCCTACGCACCCTCACTCCATGTGAGGTCAGTCTGTATGCAAAATCTTCAGGTCCAGTGTCTTTGAGCATTTTGTTGGAGAACCATAGCTGTGTAAAGCAGGCCTTTGCCTTTTCCTTTCAGTGAAACAGGAGTCAACATGAATGTTGAGGATAAATTTGTGATCTTTCACATTTTAAAATTTGAACTCCAACTGTTGGGTTGAGTGGACTTTAGTGGGGAAGATAGCACAGTAGCCAAGAAAAAGACAATCCTAACTGGGGTGAGGTGGCAGGGAGACAAAGAGAAGTGGTTGGATTCTGAACATATTCTGAGAAGGGGCAGTGTTTCCATTTGGAATGGGTGTGGTATGTGAGAGAAGGAAGAGGAGTCAAGGACCTCTCCGAGGTTCGGGACCTGGGTAACAAGGATGGAGTTGCCATTGGCCTTGATTGGGGAAGCTTGTGAGAGGGGAGATGAGTTCTGTTTGGGCACTGTACCATAGAGGGATAGTTTGGATATCCAAGGTTGGCAGTTAGATGCAAAGGCTTGCAGTGTGGGAGAGGAATCTAAGTTGGCAACTGTGACTTCAAAGTATGAGTGCAGAGTATGACAGGAGGCTTGTGCACTGAGCCTGAGGACATTCTAACATTGAAGGGACAAAGGAAGAGTCAGCATAGGAGACTGAGAATAAGTGACTAGTGTGGAGGTCAGAGGAAATCCAGGCGTTCTTGATCCAAGTATATTTGTTGGGGTTGGGGTTGGTCTGGCACACCCAGTGGCTTACTCCTGGCTCTGTGCTCAGATATCTTTCCTGGCAGAGCTTGGAGGACCATATGGGGGTGCTGGGGATCAAACACAGGTTGGCTGCATGCAAGGCAAGCACCCTGCCTGCTGTACTGTCTCCTAGGCCACTGGATCCAAGTGTATCAATGAAAAAAAAGGAAAAAAAAATTAAAAAAAAAAAAAGCGGTCTTAAAAAAAATAAATAAAAAAAATAAAAAAAGAAAAAAAATTATGAGAAAGAACAGAACTGGAAGCATTAAAAAAAAAAAAAAAAAGAAGCAACCAGATACCAGAGGAATTAAATCCAGACTTCTTTGGTTTTCAGGGTTTTTTTTGTTGTTTTTTGTTTGGGGGCCACACCCATGGTGCTTAGTGATGACTTCCTGGTGGGGCTTAGGGGATCATATGGGGTGAACCCTGGTTGGCCTCATGCAAGGCAGATACCCTACCTACTGTACTGTTCTGTCCCTCAGCCAGCATCATTTTATTTAATGTAGGTTTTGCACATTTTTCTCTCCAGCTAGAGTTTGATTGTCAAGAAATAGATTCCCATCTTTGTGTCCTCAACCCCCGGTACAAAATAGATGGCCAGTAAATGTTCAGTATTGAATAATTGGTATTGTTCTCTTTAGTAATAAAAACAAACCCAAGGAGCTTGACAAATTAATATACCAGAAAGTTAACAGTAGTTATCCCTAAATGGGCTATAGAGTTCTCTCCTCTTTCAGGACTTCACCCCTTGGGCTGTGCCCTCTCCCAGTATTAGCACATAGACATCTTCCATGTGAACTTGTGACTGCTGCCTTTCCTCTCTGCCATGCCCCATTGACTCGATTTCTGTCTTAGCTCAACTTCAGAGTCATCTTCCTAAGAACTGTTCTCGCCTCTCTTCCTGTCATGCTTGGAGTCCATTCTGGCTTCTATTCTTCCTTTCTTCTAAACCTCCACTTGTCGGGATCCAAAAGGACCTGTGTTTCCTAAGTTCCAGTGAACATTACTCATTTCCCCATTTCAACAATTTTCAAAAGGAATGGTACCTCCCAATCACATGACTTCTCCAAACTTCACTGTTGCTTCTTTCCAGACCTCTTGACTGACTTTCATTCTTCCACTTAATTTTCAAAGGTTGGAATTTATCAGGACTTGGTTTTGACTTCTCTTTTCCCCTCTCTCCGGAATAACTCCTGGGTCAATGCATGGTTAGCCATGGCTTGAGACACTGCCCACTGGCTGTGCTTCTATAATCCTTCTATCCCAAGCTTGTCTTGTCTCAACTCAGATGCCTTCCTATCATCTGCCTTTTAAAATACTCTTAGCAATCTCCTCTACTTATCAGTTGATTTGAGACCACCCAAGCAGTGTACAAGGGGACACAGGAACTACTCCCAGCAATTCTCTACCAGCCGGGTGAGATGGTTCAAATCTAGGGCTAAATGTGATGTGACACTGTTTGGGCTCAGTGGTGTTAGGAACCTCCAGGTCAACACCTGACCGTATTGGGGCGGGGGGCAGGGGGAGGCATGTAGTTTTTGAAATACCCAAGCTAGTGAAAAATCCCTGTTTTCCTTTATTTTAATTTGTTCCCTGTGTTCAATAAGTTTGATCGTATGTCCAAACTTACATTTGTTCCCTCTGCAGACCCTCCTAAGTCCTCATTATGAAATCAGTCTGGTGTCATCATATATCATCATGGTGATCATGGGCATCTGGGCGTTCTTTGTTTCTGGAGGCAGCTGCCGAAGCCTGAAACTCTGCTTGCTCTGCCAAGACAGGGACTTCCTTCTCTTCAATCAGCGTTCCAGATAATAGGCCCCAAGAACCAGCATCTCTCAAACAGTAAGCTGTGTCTTTGGAGGAAGCACAAATGTGCCTTTTCCTAAAAGTCTCTTTTCCAGGTAGAATTAGAAAAAAACAAAACTTATCAAGCACCCAAATGGCTTTCACATAGCAGCACTGTTAAAGGGAGACTTCTAGGAGGTGCATCCCTGCTGCCCATACTAGTCACCTGGGGAAACACAAGGAACTCTGCTGTCAGGCTTCTCTCCAGAGAAATTGGTCTGGACATTTTTAACATTTTAATTAGATTATTATTATTATTTTGACCATACCTGGTGGTGCTAGGGGAGGTTCCTCTCAGCTTCATGCTCAGGAGTTGCTCCCGGCGGTGCTCTGGGAATCCCTTGCTGTTGGGGATCCCCCATGCAAAGCCTGCGCTTTGAACTGGACAATTTTATTTTTCCTTACACTTCCCAAAAGACACTATTGTGCAGCCAGGTTGAAAACTATTGGTTTCCAAATAGGAAGTTCCTGAGACTATCCTAAGTAAATAAGAATCAGATGTGTAGTTGTCACTTAATTCACCTTATGCTGAGCAAGTCAGTATCTGCATGTCAGATCCTGGTGAGCTTGTGATTTTTCTTTAAGTTCTGAAGTCACAAAGGAAAAAGGGCTATCTCACTTGTGAACTGTTTTTATGGACTGCACTCAGACCCATTCTTCTGAGAACACGGTAGGCGATGCTTCTAAATGCAATTATGGCATTGGCTTACCATGAAAATTTAGCCAGAGTCAACTATTATGTACTAAGTAGTATTTTTCTGCATTTTTTTTGCTTTTTTTTCAGTCTAGGTTTTGCTTTTAGTCTAGAGGCTTCGTTTTTAAGCATAGATATATTTAACTTTAAAACTCAATTCTAACTTCCTGGGAAGGTATTCTAAAACCAAGAATTTTGTGTACTTCTGTAAACCTTTGCTTTGGTGAAGGTTTTCCGTGGGCTCTGCTCCAGAGCAGTGTTTGTCAGTAAGTGCCACTGTGTAAAGCATGTTGTTTTCTCTGTCAGGCGCATGTGCCGGTGGCCGAGATCTCCCCAGGGATAGGCTTTGCTTGAGCTGGCAGAAGTTTGACCAGAGCATAAGGAAACCAAGTCAGTAGTGTGGTACAAACACGCTAAATTTCCTTTTGATCTATCTGCCCAGCATGTTCCCCCAGTGGTGGAGAATAAACCTGGAAATGTGTCTCAAGCTGCCAAATTCATACTTTTTCACAGTTATCCATGTTATCTTCCCTACTGGTAAATGTTGCTGGGTTTTGGCAGCAGATAAAATATTCCCTTTATAGGAATATAACAACCCTAAACAGCCCTTTTGGTTTCCTTTAAAGAGGAAATGCCAGTGAATTGTACCTTGACTCACTGGAAATTGCTTCTGTGCAGTGGCTTGTTTTTTGACGTGGGTGAGTGGTTTGGAGCTATATCTGGCTTGGGATGCTCCTGGCTCTGTGCTCAAGTTTCACTCTTAGTAGTGCTCTGGAGATCATGTGAGGTGCTGAGATCGAATGGAGGTCAGACGCATGGAAGCCAAGCACCTTATGCTCTGTTTTATCAGTCCAACCCCCATTTGATGTCTTCTAGGGACCTCATGGTCTGAAATGGAAATCCCCCCTCCTACCCCCACTTAAATGATAACCTTAGTGACTTCCGCATGGCCAGCAGAATGTCTCTGAGAAATAGGAGCAGCAATGAGAGACCTCTGTTATGAGTGACCAGTGGGAGAATTTCCCAGCACTGTGGTAGGGAAGAAGAACAAACATGTTCAAAATAGAAACACAACCAGTATTTGGGCTAGTCATACAATATTCTAGGGACATAACTGGACATGGGAACTAGATCTATATTAGCGAGAAATGGTCCCATGATTAAATGGCTAGAATTAATCTAGTGGTTCAAGAAGAGTAAGACAATCTCAAAAGCACTTACAGTTATTATCCTTAAGTTGACTCCAGCACTAATACCAGTCCTTCTGCTGGCATTTAAAGGTATTAGCTTTGGAAGTGGCTCTGCAGAAGAGCTTTCCTTGTACGATGCCCTAGGTTTCATCCCAAAACAAAACAGATTGAGTCAAGAACTCAGTATCACTTAGTGAAATTTACTGTGCGAAGTTGAGAGGGGAATGCTCCCTATGAACTGGGATTTATTCTTATTGGAATATAGTGTTCTGAACAAAAGAAGGAGATTATATAGTTTGTCATTATTATTGACTTGCAAATAAATCTTGGATAGACTATCTGCTGGTCTGTAATATATAGAAGAAATATGAGAATATTAATTTTGTAATAGAGTTCTGAAGATATCCTCCTGTACATCAATAGATTTAATATTAAGAAATGAAACTGGGATGTTATTAAATCTCATTTACACAACCTTGTCAGGCAATAGGAAATTGTTATTTGATGGTGATATCATTGTTTTAGTTCAGAAAATGATTTACTAATCTTTGATTATCTGTGAATAAAGGACCTTGTCATCCTGATTTCTTTTAGATTGTGAGCATTGCCATAGTCAACTTGGGCACCGTTGTTGCAAATAGCCTTGCTTTGCCTCATGCCAAGGAAGTCTACAGGGAGGTACAGCTTCCTCTGTTGTGTACATATTGAAATGCTTCCTGTTGTTGCTGTTGCATTCATTATCTATAATGAGCGTTTTGGGTCCTGATAGTATTTGGAGAGGAAGAAGGAGATGTTGATGTCCCATGTTATTCAGGCAGAGTTTTCTCGGTTTGGAGAGAAACTGGGTATGAAGTTTGACTTTGGGTGTGAATATCACTGTAGCACTTGGATATATTGCTATGTGAATAACATTTATTTTGAATAAAAGTTCTATTTAATTGTTCGTTCAGATTATAACTTAATTGTAATTTAAGAGATTTCATTACCTCAGTCTTGGCCTGCCTGGCTGGGAATGTCGGAATAATGTCTTCAGGGGTTGGGGTAGGGGTTGGGGTAGGGGTTGAGGTAGGGGTTGGGGAACAGGGTATAAACCCAGGCTCTCATATGCCAGGTATGTGCTTTTCCACTGAGCCACATCCCCAATCAGCAGTAGTTCTCTTTTGTAAGTAGGGAAACCTTGGCCGAAAGAAATTAACGATACCTGAAGAGAGCATAGGAAACACCCTCTGTTTCCAGTACAGGCTCTCTGTTCCAGGCCCTTCTCTCTGTTCCCCAGTAGGGCTTTCCCATCTGGTATGATTTCATCATCACTTATTTATTTAGTTTTGATCTGAGAAAACATAGTATGTTTCTGCATACTAATGGCAGTAGCGTTTCCAGACCTCCAGAGCCCTGCTTCTAGACCTTACCAAATCGGAACACATGCCTTCCCAGAGCAGGAAACCTGTTTTTTTGTTCTCAAGTTCTTTTCAGTGTTGGCTGAGAAAGGCAGACCCACATTTGAGATGTTTCTGCCCTGCAGGGCCCAGAGAAGAGCATGTGAAGTTTCTTTTCACCTGCTACTCCCACACAGACCTCAGCCTAGCCCCAAGATAGAGATGAGAGATCAGCATTGGCCTGACGTCCCTGGGAAGAGCAAACTATGGCTTTTTATTAGCAGCTAATTTTTTTTCTGAACCTCATATTCCCAGCTCTGGGTCGCCAAGGTAGATGTTGCAAGAGAGCAGTTTTATCTTATTTGTATTGATTGATGTTCTGTGGTTTACAATTGATGATGATTTGTTACAATTAATGATAAACTGTTAATGATGGTTTCTCATGCACATAATTCCAATACTACACCATTGCCACTGTACCTCCCTCCCTCCCCCACGGATCCCAATATCCTTCCTTTTCAACACCCTCCAACTCAGTTTTAAAGTGCTTTGCTTAGAACATCTTGTTTATGATTGTGATGTTTACATTTCTCATTTAATAAAAAATGTTGTTTAGACAGGACATTTGTATGTAATATATGTAACATTTTAGATGTTATACTGTTATGTTGTATATATTTGCAATATGAGACAATATATTGAATTCAAATCATAATGCAATAGGCTCTTTCCAGACTTGTATTTTTCAGTGAACAATAAAAACATTGTTTGGCAGTACTCATTCCCCATGTTTCTCCTTCTTTGGAATAGTGTAAACTTAAGTATCTCTTACTGCAGTTTTTTTTAATCATAAAGAAATTTATTTTGAAACAAAATCTTTACAAGTTTGTCACAACATGTGGAATCGTGTTCCCATAAGATAGGTTCTAGACACCAACTGAGCTCTGCCTAATTCTAAATCAGTTTGTTCTACAAGTTTTACATCATCACACAGGGCTTGCTGTAATTTTCATCTGTATTTTAGCACTTTATATACATTTTTACAGTTTCAGGTTTCAAAGTTTTGATTTATATGAAGCAGAGTCTCCTGCCCCCATGCCTGGCTGTCCTCGCTGGGGCCCTTGGAGGGGAGTGGGTTGAGTTTCCCTCCCCGCCCTGACCAGGGCTCTGGCCGCCAAAGACCTCCAGAACCAGACACCACCATGCTGAGACCACTCTCCACACACATGAAGGTACTGGCAGAGGAACAAAGGCATGCGGGTCCCAGGACTGAGATCTCCAAGCCTACTTGGATCGGGGCTGAGCATCCTCCACCCAGATCCTCCAAATTCCAGTAGGCAGGGGTCACACCCACCAACTGGCCCCCTGGTGCCGTGTAATCCCATCAACAGCCAAGACTCAGAGACTATAAAACCCAGCTCCCAGAAGAGAACAGCATAGAGTCTCCTGCCCCCGTGCCTGGCTGTTCTTGCCGGGGCCCCTTGGAGGGGAGTGGGTTGAGTTCCCCTCCCTGCTCCGACCAGGGTTCCGGCAGCCGAAGACCTCCAGAACCAGACACCACCATGCTGAGACCACTTTCCGCACACATGAAGGTACTGGCAGAGGAACAAAAGCATGTGGGTCCTGGGACTGAGATCTCCAAGCCTACTCGGATCGGGGCTGAGCATCCTCCACCCAGATCCTTCAAATTCCAGTAGGCGGGGGTCACACCTACCAACTGGTCCCCTGGTGCCATGTAATCCCATCAACGGCCAAAAGCCAGAGACTATAATACCCAGCTCCCAGAATCGACATCTTATTATCTCATTCCTACTTTGGACAAACTGGCAGGCTATCGAATGTAACCTGCCCACATGGCAGAGTCTGGCAAACTCCCCGTGGCATACCCAGTATGCCAAATACCAGTAACAATGATGGATGGGTCTCATTCTCTTAACTCTGAAAGAGCCTTGAATATGGCACTTTTTAAAAAAATCGCAGGGCTAGGACGAAGGAGACGTTACTGGGGCCTGCTCGAGGCAATTGATGAATCACAGGATGGTCGTGATCGTGAATGTCTCCTAATAGAAGAGGTGTAGGACCATCAATATCGTGTTTATTCTGTGGTGTCTGTGAACATGCATTGTACCAAAACATCACAGTACTGTTTCTTAGTTTGTTCTTTATAAACTGCTAACTAGGAAAAGGCAGATCTTCCATCTTAGTAGCTATGAAATCTGTTATTAGCATTTTAGTGGAATGATGAAGAACACATATCTTGGTTGATATTCCATGAACATTACCATCACGATATCTGATTGAATGTGAATAGTAACCCAAATAGTAATTGAATGCTAATAGTAACCCAAAGACATTATGAAATGTATATTACCATGAGACTAGTTATATTAAAATGCTAATTATATTAAACACTATAATGTTTTTTTTTAATTTTTTAAAAAAATCTTTATTAGTGAAACACCATGAGGTACAGTTGTAGACTTACAAAGTTTTGTGTGTGGGTTTCAGTTATACAGTGAATGAATACCCATCCCTCCACCAGTGCCCATTCTCTTGTTACTGCAGTTTTTTTCTCTTATGAAACACAGCTTTACATTCTGCTGTACATTCTGTTTATGACTGGTCAGCCCTCAGACTTTTTCACAGGGAGTTCTTTGTTTTCCAATTTAAAATTGATGAGGCTTATTTCATTTATGTGTGTTCAGAAACAGTCTGGTATAGAGGAACTCCTGGAGATTTCTTAAACCAAGCAAAGAAGAATTCTCAAAAATCCAGGAACCTCACCTTAAAAGGTCTTCTGAGTTATTGTAACACACCAAATAGTGGTTAAAGATGGGAGTTAGTTGAAAAGGAGACTGCAGTTAAATTTTAACCTCATGACCCTGAATTTCCTTTTGAATTCTTCTGTTTTTCTT